ACAAACACAAACACAAACACAAACACAAACACAAACACAAACACAAACACAAACACAAAACACAAACACAAACACAAACACAAACACAAACACAAACACAAACACAAACACAAACACAAACACAAACACAAACACAAACACAAACACAAACACAAACACAAAAACAAAAACAAACACAAACACAAACACAAACACAAACACAAACACAAACACAAAAAAAAAAACAAACACAAACACAAACACAAACACAAACACAAACACAAACACAAACACAAACACAAACACAAACACAAACACAAACACAAACACAAACACAAACACAAACACAAACACAAACACAAACACAAACACAAACACAAACACAAACACAAACACAGAACAAACACAAGCATAACCGCAAACGCAAGCACAAACGTAAACGTTTTGCAAACGGAACGGAAACGCACACGCACAAACGAACGCAAACACACACACACACACAAACACAAAGACAAAGACAAACACAAGCACAAGCACAAGCCCAAGCCCAAGCACAAGAAGACGCACAAGCACAAGTACAAACGCACACACACACATACACACGAACACAAACAACACACACACAAAGACTGGCTCTCCTGCTTGTCGAGGAGCAGAAAAGAGCCGCAGAGTTTGAAGACCAGTTGCTGGAAGAGAGAAAGAGGCTGGCACTGGAAAGCAGTTTGCACTGCGTATGTGAAAGCCCATGAGCAAGCGCTTGCACAAGCATTTTCTCTGGCAAGATTGTGTGGCTGACCAGTGTAGCCAACGCGTCCCCAGGGCGGGATTTGGTCTTGCAAGTGACACATTTGCATGCCTGAACGAACAGGTGTGCACGGCGACTGGAGAACTTTTCGGCTGAGCTCCTGGAAGAGAAGGCGGACGCCCGGGATGCGGTGGAACCTCAATGGTGCCCTTTGGTCAGAAAGAAGCATCGCTCTTGGCAAGCCATGGAGCCCCAAACTCTGAAACAGCCATTTGCCTTTGACTTGAGCACGGACCACAAGTTTCAAAGCTGTGTGCCTCTGCGCTGAGCCCTTGGGATTTGCATTTTATTTCCCACCTTGCCTTTGCAAAGCAGCACCAGAAATTCGAGGCCCCGGTCTTTCTGCTCAGATTCCTTTCATTGCCTTTATTGCAATTACATCTTTTGGCAAAAAGCTGTGCGGCGTTTTGGCAACTCAACACTCCAAGCTCACTCCAACAAGACCTGGGCCAATGGACATGTCTGGTTCTGTTTTTTTTGCCAGCTTCTCCCACTGAAGCCTCTTCTTTGTGTGGAGAAAGAAACACGAGGCCAAGAACCTGGAGCTGCGGAAGCCGCGGCCCTTGGAGCTTCAGCACCAGGCCCAGGAGCACTGGTCTCGGGGTTGTGACACGGACCACTTGGGGCGGGGTGTTTATTGTCTATGTTGTTTTTTTCCTCCGTTCTTTTTCTTTTTCTTCTGTGATACCTTACATGAGAAGTTCTCGTTTTTTCTGCGATACTTTTGGGAATCTCCCGCTTCAAAAATGGGGGGTTACCAGTTTTGAAGGAAGCCCTTTCTGTTGCATCACAGAAGTGGATTCCATTTCCCACAGCCTGGGCCTGGTTCATGACTTGACTTGATGGCTCGGCTCAAGCTGCTTTTACGAAAGTTGAGAAGCCAGTCTCCACGAAACGCACTTGACTCACCAGAAATGCCTGACTTCAAGTGGGCCACGGATGAGAGCAGCAAAGCTACCGAACCGCCGCTCCTGCGTGCGCACCTTTCAACAATTCTGTCTGAGCATGCAGCAGTAATCGCTTCAGACTTTGCGCATGATTGCTGGTAGCCAGAAGAAAGCTGCTTGACCCCCACCACTTTCAGCCCAACAAACTAACGCACATGAGAGCAATCAAGGCCACTTTCGGCTGTTAGATGCTCCCGCATAGCTGCTGCGGCTGTGACTGCGGTCTATGTGGCCGGCCAGCTGGGCCCTTACACAGTGTCGGCTAGCGAGCTATGGTCCGCTTGTTTGAGGCCATCTACCCAGGATCATCCAGGCGCGAAAGAAACCAAATTGATAACGTTTTGGCAGCCGCAGAACCTGAGGCTCCTGTGAAGATATTGGACTGGCGATTGCGAGTCGGGGGACTTGAATGGAAGGGCGATGGCAGATGGACACAGGATCTGAGGCTGGGCAGACGACTAAAGTTGGCTCGTTTCTTCAATTTCCTTGCCATATGAGTGGGGAGAGCTGTTTTTATGGGGGGAAATGCTGAAGAGACGACAATCGGACGAACTTCTGGGATCTTGCAATTCCATGCGGGAACTTAAGCAAGAGGAGCCCGGGAACCCAAAGCAAACCCCCCGCTGCATCCCCTGAGCTGGGCTAGTTTTTTGACTCGGCTGTCAGCTCGCTGAGTCAGTCGTCAGTAGCATCTGATGGTTATTTTGGCTGAAGGGACAGTTACCCCAGCTACAGCTTCTTCTGGCGATTATGAAGGTGCCCTATGGCAAGCTAGGGGGCAGCGTCGCACACCCATTTTGCACCACAGCCGTCGCCCACCAGCCTCGGACACGTAATCTGCAGTCTGGACCACATGGCCACGCGGCCGTCCAGCCTCGCGCGCCCATTCTTCACCACACGGCCGTCCGCCCAGCCAGCCTTGTTCGCCTAGTTTGCACCACGCAGCCCTCCCCCCCCGTGTCCCCCCAGCTAGCTTCGCGTTGAGTCTGCTGCGCCACGCCCAACCAGCACGCACACCTCAAACGGCTGGAGCGAGCCGGGGCATCCTGGCCGTCCCCCCAACCAGGCGCGCGTAATCTGCACACACGGTCCCCCCCAGCTCTGTGCCTGGCCGTCCCCCCACCCAGCCTCGCGCGCCCATTCTGCCACATGGCCGTCCCCCACCCAGCCTCGCGCACCCCCATTTTGCCCCACCCAGCCCCGCACGCCCATTCTGCACCACGCACCCATTCTGCACTACACAGCCGTCCACCAACCCAGCCCATAGTGCGCACTCATTCTGGACCACAAGGCCGTCACATGCCCGTCCCCCACCCAGACGCACGACCCATTCTGCACTACGCGGCCGTTCCTACACACGGCCGTCCCCCCCCCACCCGTTTTGAGCCACACAGCCGTCTCTCCGCCCAGCCTCGCACACCCATTCTGCACGACACGGCCGTCCCCCGCCCACCCTCGCGCACCATCGCGCACCCATTCTGCACCACAGACCCGTCCCCCCACCCAGCCCGGCGCACCCAGTTTGCTCGCCAAAATTTGGCCGCTCACAACGAAACCCCTTATCTCCGTCGTCATCGCTCCCCGGACCCAAGCATCAAAGATGCTTTTGGGAGAAAGGGACCTTAATAGGAGGGTCCCTGGCGGCTGGGCAAGGGACGCGTTGGCTGCAGCGACATAAACCGCGCGAAAGGCCAGCGGCGGCTTTGTGTGCGGCGGCTGTGGCTTTACCACGACGCAGAGCGCGGCAGGTGGGGGAGACGTGGAGTGACGGGGGCTCTAGGACCTTACAATGTAGAATGCGTGTTTGCTTGGCAGACGGGCGCTGTGTAGCACGTCCACTATTAGAGTTGCGTTTGCTTCTCTTGATTCTCTCTTGCGCTGGGACACAGAGTTTCGGCAGGAGCTTTGCTGCCAAGATGAGGCAGCTGAGCCGGCGCCGCCTCGATTGGAGTTTCGGGATGAGGATCTTTTGATTGCAAATATCCAACGACGACCGAGTCTTTGAGACTTGGCAGCGTGGTGTAAGGACCCCAGCTGCTACACGATTGGCATCCTCGGGGATTTGCACCTGGATCCCAGGGATATGGATGACTCGCTGCTGGGTCGCTCGCCGTTTGCCTGAAGATGCTTCGCCAGTTTTTGGAGATGGAACAGCTTGTGTCTTCTGCGGAAACCATGTTTGCAGCACGTCGGTGGAAAGGCCAGGTGATGGCAATATGCCTGCCGGGAGCAGTGCGATGCAGATGTTGGCAAATGCTGGCTCAGGCACATGAAACAAGTCTTGGCTGACAAGCCAAATACGTTTGTGGTCTCGCTTGGCGACCTTGGCGAGTCGAGTGATTGCACCGTGTCTTGGCAAGCGAGCTAAGACCGTGACAGAGCAGTGCAGTGCCAAGAATCTCAAGAAGCATGGTGCAGTTGCCTTTTGTGGTGATCTTTGGCCTTGAAGACCAATACCTGGTGGTTTTTGCCACTTGATGCTTTTGGTATTGCCGGACATGCGGGGGGGGAGTCGACACATCAGTGCAACAATTCATTTCACGCATGCATGCACAAATATGCGGGGGAAGAGTCTGCACCAAGGACACCAAACAGCTCTTCTCGGGCACCACGCCGTGCTTTCGCCTGGCCCGCGAGTATTTGGATGGACACGCGCTCAGTTCTGTGATCAGAGGCTCAAGGTAAATGGCCAGCGGACATCAGGCGTTGGCTTCCCCTTCGAGGTCGTTGGCGGCAATCACGACTTGGAGGTGCGCTCTGCTTCAGAGCAACTCTTGCCATGGTCCAAACTGCGGTTGTGCTTCCCCTTACTGACGCACTGGCCTTTCTCACAGTCTTTTTACATCTTGTTTGAGTGGCAAAAGGCGCTTGCCTTCCTATGCCGCAAGGGCATTGAGGAGTTCGGTACGGACGCAGACAATTTAGCAGCATTTCTGGACCACATGGGCAAGGACAGTTTATGCAGGGACATTCTTGGTAGCAGTCGCTGAACAAAGCAAGGAGACGCATTCACACAAATTTGAGAGTAGGAGCTATCATTGCTGGCGGTAAAAATGCATGTTAAATTCTATCTCACTTTCGCCTTCCTTGTGCTTGGCGCAGGAAAGCCCCCAGTTCAGCTTGGCCCTTGGTATCCTGCTTCCATGGCTCTTAAATGGATACACATAGTATTCATTTGTAATGTACACATGCACTACACACAATATACGTACTATTACATAGACATGACACATTCATGTATGCCTTTGAGGCTACGAAGTGGCAGAGAAGACGCTTTTGGTGGGTCTGGGATCGACTTCATTCCGGTCTGCACGGCACTCCTCGCACGAGGTCAGGGCGTTCAGAGCAGCCTGCAAAGTCCCGAGTTCTTCATACCTAGCCAGGTCTCAATCGATGCAGCGCAGCTGCGCTGGTTCGTTCGGGACTCATCCGTTTCAATCATGGGCTTCATGAAGGGGTGCCACTTCCAGAAAGCATGCCAATGATCAATGATGGCCGGGCAGAACGCATGCTGAGGAGGAGATCATCCACGCGCACCCCGCGTCAGAAGGATGGCAAGTCTTCGTGTTCAGCCATGCTCCGATCTTGGGGTCATCGCTGAGAGTGGTGCAGGAAGAGTGCACCCTGTGACGACATGCTGCGCAGCCATCGACACATTGGAAACTGGTCTTGTTTTTGCTGTTTGTTTTCCTTGATTGGCTTTTAAAACTCATTCCTGAGTTGTATGGCAGTGTGTTGGGCTGCAGTGCTTGCCATCTTCCATTCTGGAGGCATTTCGCGCATTGGGCAAAGATGTGCTTTCTACTGCTTTCCGCTACGAGCAGGAAGTTCACGTTGTCAACGGCTGCTGCTGGCTGAACCACACCGACGCTACCAGCTGAGCACTTAGGAGCTCCCGTGCGAATGCGTCAGCACCTTGGCACACCTCGAGGCTCTCGAAAGTTCATCCAGATTGTTCGAGAGAATGAATGCATAAAAGGCAGGCTTGGACTGGCATTGCTTGAATTTTGGCCCACTGTGAATATGTTGAACTGCTTGTTTGCTCACTCGAAGTCTTGGCACACTTGCTTCGACGTGTGAGAAACCTTTCACCGGGCCTCCAATGTAATGCAAGCTGAATGTACAGGGCTGAAAGAATTAGTGAGTCTACCAGAACAGCGCCGTGTGATTAGAGACTGGTGCGGCTTGTTTGCCGATGCTCATAACAGAACATGGGCTTTAGATGGTGGAGCGGATGTCACCTTTGGAGCTCCTGTGACTGGACATTCAGTTGTGCTTGCACTTGCAGATTGGTGTAGCTGGGCAGCCTTTGGCCAGCAAGTTGGGGTGGTTTGATAAGTCTTGCAGTGTTGAAGCTGGTGCTGTCAAAGTGATTACAATTTTGCACAGCCTTGCAGTGTTGAAGCTTTGGCAGTTGCGCAGCCCTTGGTGCAGCCAAGTTCTTCGCAAGGGTGCTAAGAAACAAAAAAAACGTAGCCCGGCTAAACGCCGGGCATGGCAAATTCTGGCTCCAGTGATGTGAAGCCTGAGCTCAGCTCATCCCATTCTACGACCTTGCTTGGTAATGCCGATGTCGTCTCAAGGGTTGTATATGATTGCGCTTACACTGGACCAGCTTATAGCGATATTCTTTGCAGGTT